GGAGCATCGTGATACTCGAACATGATCCGCAAACGCAGATCAGTATCGTCTGGAATGACAACACGTGGTGTGTCACCAGAAACGGCTGTATAGTACAGTAAACCGTTACGAGTAGTGTATCGATCTGATGCAGATCGATACGCAGACGACAATCGTTTCAACGATTCTCGAGATGGTTGGGAGAGATGTGACAACAACTTCACTATCTCACCATCTTGGGCGTATGCCCGCCTCACATCATCATACAACGTTGTAGATGGAACTGAGGACGTCATAACCGCAACAGTGACTGTCTCACTGTTGGGTTTCGCGACTGTTTCAAAGTCGGGACGACGTGAGAGTGCATCAGCGACGACATTAAGTCGTCCTGGTTTGTACTCGACCGTAAAGTTGTATTCTGCAAAGAATGACAACCACCGCGCCATTCGTTGTGAAAGGTGCGGGCTGTTCACTGCCGTGCGTAAGGACGCATGGTCAGTGTAAACAATGAAGGGTCTATCTCCTAATAGATAGACTCTGAACTTCGCGAGTGCATACTTCATGGCAAGGAGTTCCTTGTCATGCACTGGATAGTTCCGCTCAGCTGGTTGCAGCTGACGCGACTGATAGCAGACGACGCGTTCAACGCCTTCAAGGTCGTACTGCATTAATGCACAGCCGATTGCGAAATCGCTGGCATCACAGACCACATGAAATGGCCTGTCCTGATCGGCTATTGCTAGGACTGGGGATTGTATCAAGCTCTGCTTGATACCCTCAAAGGAGCGTTGACATTCAGCGTTCCATAACCACCTCTCGTTCTTTTTCAACAAACGAGAGAGGTGTACAGTCATCTCGGCGTAATTGCGTGAATACTTATGCAAATACGCCGCTAGCCCAAGGAATTTTCGAAGACCTTTGACATCGACCGGCACGGGCCAGTCGGTGATCGCCTTGATCTTTTCGGGATCAGGACGTACACCGTTCTTACCAACGATGCACCCAAGAAGTGGTATTTCGCTTGCTGCAAATATACACTTCTTGAGGTTTGCATACAATTGATGCTTTCGCATGATTGTAAGAACTGGTCGGACGTGGTACTTGTGAACCTCAACGTCCGACTTTCCATCCATAGCTCGACTATGGATGAATACGTCATCGAAATAACTCGGCGCGAATTCTCGTACTGGTCTCAACAGATGTGATACACATCTGTTGAACGTGGCAGGGGCATTACTAAGCCCTTGTGGCATTACTAGCCATTCCCAGAGCATGCCGCTAGGCGTGCTAACTGCGGTATAGGGTTTATCCCGTTCTCACATAAGGATTTGATAGAAGCCATCCATCAAATCCATGGACGAAAAGATGGTACTCTTTGACATACCATCAATGATTACGTCCTTCCTCGGTATCGGCGTCTGAGCCGGTACCGTTGCAGCGTTCAATTTGTTAAACGCGTGCACTATCCGCCACCCTCCTGTTGCTTTTCGCACACAGAAGGTCGGAGAGCTATGTGGGGAAGTTGATTCCCTCACATGGCCCGCTGCTAAACGATCGGCAAAGAACTTGTCGATCGCAAGTACTTGTTCACGAGGCAGTGGCCACTGCTTCATGACACAGTACTTCGAGCCTGGTTTAAGCTCGACTTCGTGTCGAATACCTTTATCCTTCGGTAATTCGCACGGAACAGTTTCAGGGAATACATCCTTGAATTCAACCAAATCTTCATAGAGAGGATTTTTCTTGAGCGATTCCCATGATTGGGACTCATATCGCTCAATTCGTGTCTTTTCATCTAGGACACTCTCGTCCATAGATGAACTACTGAGAACTCTCTCGTTCTCAGTAAACACTGTTGCTGACCTTATGTCGGTTACATACTCGTCTTCAGCGACGAGTATGCAGATCTGCTTGACTTTGCCACTACGCAGATCACGCAAGAATCTTTTATGTTCGAGCGTTGGCAACTGAGTGATCTCCGAAGTTAACTTCGGAGGCGCAATCAGATCAAGTGTATAAGCGCCTACACATGATCCGTTATTGACTATGACATTCAATGTCTCTGTCATTTCCTGGGGACTTATTCCCTCAGGCTTCGAAGGACTTATTCCTTCGGCTTCCCAAAGGCCTCATTCCCGCGGGTTTCGGGGAACTTCTTTCCGCCGTATTTGTAATCTTGGGACTTATTCCCTTTACTCCCTCTAGCTGGGGTTGCGCAACCACAGCGAGATCCTCTACGAAAGACTCTCCAGTCGATCTAGGATTATCGTTTCGCTTAACCTGAGCGATCGATTGTTTCTCTTCTAGATGTTCCCCGCTAGGGATACATCTTTGTCCCGGTCCACCCGACTTATTCGAGTGGTGGACCTTCGGCGCAGCCTGTGTTTCCTCACAGCCGCCGGAACTTTGCTCCGAAGTGTAACCGTTTGGTACACTAAGGTTTTGTGCAGTCGTACTAACGACCGTACCACAAGTGAGGCCATCGCACTCACTCGTAGTACATCCACACGCTTGTGGACGCTCCAAAACGTTCATCAGATGGCCATCTGATGAACAAGCGGCAGGCATCGTTACTGTCCGATGTTGCCAGTTTACCCGTGGTTCGTACCTTCTGAGCCACGGTATTCCAAGGATGACATCAAATTTGTCATCCAAATCCAATACGATAAAGTCATCGTCGTATTGGGTATCTTCTAGCGTATAGTGAATCTTCACTATACGCTTCATGACGGTTACGGATGCGCCTGTCGCAAGACGTACCGTCATCCTCGTAGGAGGTGTGTCACATTCACTGAATTTAAAGTGACCATCTTCTAGCGATTGGCGTCGCACAAAATTGTTGGACGCCCCACAATCGACTAGAGCTCGAAGGGACAACTTATTCGTCACTTCGAGTTTCAAGGTAATGAGTGAGATCTCATTACCTAGAGCAGCAACGCACAATGTCTGTGTGTTGGGAGCAACCTTCATCAAGAGGCCTACAAATTCTCTTGACGTTGCTGGATCAGTAGGGTGCTCCGCACCTACTGATCCTGTCCGTTTTTTTACGGTCCATCCCGTTGTTGCGTCTTTGCACCAACTGCGGACCCTCGTCCCTGCCCCTTTCTCATGGGTGGACGGTCACTACGCCCAGTGTCGCGAGACACTGGACGAGGGGCACTACACTCGTAAGCGTAGTGTCCTGTCTTTTGACATCTGTTGCATCTCTGCAACTTCTTGTAGCCTGTAGAGCGAGCCTTCTCGCTCTCTACATAACAGAGTTCCATCGGCTCTGGACCTCCGTTGTCATATCGTCTCGGTTGACGATATGATGTCGAGCTGGCGCGAGCCTGTCTCAGACTGAAGTCTTCCTGCTCCGCAATTGAATTGGCTTGTTCTAGTGAATCTAGTTCAAGCCGGAACAGGTGAGTCTTGACGGGACCATCCGCAAGACCCTGCATGAACACCGAAACCAACGTGTGTTCATCCACCGGATTGGAACTTATACAACTCGTGAGATGTCGTATATGTTGAGCGTAAGCGTGCACATCACGCTTACCCTGCTTGAGCTTCAAGAGTTCGGTTCGAGCTCTGAACTCAGCTCTAGGCGGTTCAAACGTTTGTCTGAGCCGCGACTTGAAGACTTCCAACGACCCAAACGCGTATGGGTCGTGCAGCTTGAGCCCCAGTGCCCAAGTCTTGGCACGTCCTGCCAGATTTGACTGGGCAAATGCAACTTGCATATCCCCGTCGTCGATGCGACGCGCCCTTATGGCGTCATCAATTCGACGAACCATCTCAAGAGGGAGTCTTCTTCGACCCCCTATACTTTGAGATGTCAATCTTCAAAGTCTCGGGCCGACGCGAGTGCATCGACCCGCCAGCAGCAGCCTGCTGCTGTCTCAACAGTTCAAACTGTTGAGCACCTTGTTCTCTCAACAACTCTGCTTGTTGAGAACCTTGTTGGTGAAGCAAGGCTACTTTCTCGCGTTCTGCGTCAAGTTCATTTTGAATGAACTTGGCGATAGTAGCATGTTGGGCATCTCTATTGAGAGCCTCTAGCATGACGCTAACAGCATGGATGCCCATGGTTGAACCCATCCGTTCAACCGCATCCCATTCGACATCGCTCAAATGGGAGTAGCCGTCACGCGTAGCGTGAAAGCTTTGGTCATCTTCATCATCCAACATATTCATGTTGGATGTGAACGCGGTCCTTGGACGGACTACGAAGTGCTACCAGGTGTAACGGGGCACCCTGAAGCTTGTACTGGTGACAGTACAAGCTACTTATTCTGATAACAGAATAAGGCGGTGCCTCGTAACTTCACGTACACTCGTACGTGCAGAGGAAGACGGTAAGAAGAAGCGAGTACTCGGTTAGAGTAAAAAGTAGAACTGTATTTATAATAGTTCATGTCTGCAATAAATCACTATTTATCTTCATCTAACTATGTCTAAATACAAATGTGTAAATCAGTTATCTGCTCACCACTCATTGCGTGCGTCTGTCGTGGCGCGTCTTCGTTGGTTGATATAATGGCCTATATCAACCAATTAGGAACTACTTGGAAGTGCTACAGAATATTGTCCTTATGACAATATTCTAAGAATATAACTCTTATAGTTATATTCTATTAACAATTTCTTATAAATTGTTATGTAACGATTCACCCCGTTACAATATCGGATTGCAATTCCCTAGGGTGGCACCGGCATCTCGGCAACACGAAAGACTCGTGCAATTATGTGGTAACTTGTAAGCTCCAGGGACATTTTACTGCAAGAGAACTCGCCCATTGTAGGTCTAGATTATAGTAGGATGATCGAGCACGCTGACACAGCAACGATGAAAGCAAGATACTCAGTGAAGCTAAACCGATTCGATGTCCTGTTTTTTATCTGACAACTACTGGTCGCCTCTAAACGACAAACATGTATCATCCAGCCACTGAAATTCTTGAACATCACCCTTGAAAACTTGAGCTCTCACCGTGCTTTATCCATACCGGGGCATTTGTTTCCTTTTTTCCAAGACGTGGTCATATCTCAGATATTTTTTTGACTTTCGGGTCCTCCGCGCTGTTGTCAGACGTGCTATCAGACGTGCTGTCATCTTCACCGGTTTCTCCGTAGGCTTTCCTCCTGCGTGCGACAAGGAGGCGGCTGGGCAAGGCTGGTGGAGTCGCCTCCGACGTCAATGTCTTCCCGGACTCAGACGCTGCTACGAAGGTGTCACTTCGGGCCAACAGAAAGACTGCCGCCACAGCTGGGATGTACGATACACGCATGTGAAGACTCGGTTTGGTAGGTACTGGGGTCGCCAGGTAGAAGGGAGCTCTTGGAGGCGAATCGTAGAATGCCTGAAGTCTGCCAGTGGGTATTGCTTGAACGACTTGCTCCTGAATTGTGCAGCGGGCAGTAGGAATGGAACGGGCAGTGGAAGGAAACAGATCAAGACAGGGACAGGTGGAAGGTCCAAAATCGACGTCTGGAAGGCGCTGCTTGCAAGGCATACCACATGGATTCTGGCTGTTTGTGGCAGAATCGTAAAACGGTAAAGAGCAGTATACTCTATGCATTGATTACGGTAGGCGCATTTGGCTGGTCATTCTAGTAGCATCGGCTGTCAGTTTTAGTCAAACAATGTTCGTTTTAGTCAAACGATGACTCGAACGTCAGTGCGATAGGGCGCCGTGTACACACCTCTGTTTTGCTGTGGATATGCGAGGAAAACAAGATTCGTCTGGACGGGTATTTATGGAGGTGTGCGGATAGGTGGATCTCAGATGCAGATTTGCAGATGGAAGGGTAATATCATCTGTTGGCGGTTTGAATTGAAACCAACATTTCGTGACTGGAGGACGTCGTCGCCAGAGCGATAATTTACTCATTCAGCTGCACACCCAACCATCTGATCTCCCTATGGGCACACCCAACCATCTGATCTCCCTATGGGTGCACCCATAGGGAGATCAGATGGTTGGGTGTGCAGCTGAATAACTAAAATCATTGCTACATTCTTATAACAAGCACTTCCTAGGCGAAGTCAATGCATGACACCTTTATAAGCGTGAACCAAACGTCGTGCTTACCAGATTCGATCACGCGACAACAGTTTCTTACCGTCTTGCCAGCGTGTGATCGATAGCTTCGCTGCAATCGTTCAATACTGTCATCGGAAAGCAAGGTATTTCCCCAATTTATGTCTCGACAGTATAATATCGCACTTTTCACTGGAGATTTGTGTAATCTAGTTGCAGTTGTGTCTACCAACCAGTAAGAAAAAGTCGGCCGGTTTTGTGCAGAGGCTGTGCGGTATCCTAGCATCTTCTGGTGTCTACAGGACTCAACTATATACCGGGCAAAACAACGAGGTGAGCTGACTTTATACTCGCATCAAGTACCGTGGCACGTTGTCGGAAATTGTCTTGCTGCCGAGGGGCTGGATCTAGACGAACCTTGCGCTCCTCACACACGAGCGTCAAACAACAGGTGTGTACACGGCGCCCTATCGCACTGACGTTCGAGTCATCGTTTGACTAAAACGAACATTGTTTGACTAAAACTGACAGCCGATGCTACTAGAATGACCAGCCAAATGCGCCTACCGTAATCAATGCATAGAGTATACTGCTCTTTACCGTTTTACGATTCTGCCACAAACAGCCAGAATCCATGTGGTATGCCTTGCAAGCAGCGCCTTCCAGACGTCGATTTTGGACCTTCCACCTGTCCCTGTCTTGATCTGTTTCCTTCCACTGCCCGTTCCATTCCTACTGCCCGCTGCACAATTCAGGAGCAAGTCGTTCAAGCAATACCCACTGGCAGACTTCAGGCATTCTACGATTCGCCTCCAAGAGCTCCCTTCTACCTGGCGACCCCAGTACCTACCAAACCGAGTCTTCACATGCGTGTATCGTACATCCCAGCTGTGGCGGCAGTCTTTCTGTTGGCCCGAAGTGACACCTTCGTAGCAGCGTCTGAGTCCGGGAAGACATTGACGTCGGAGGCGACTCCACCAGCCTTGCCCAGCCGCCTCCTTGTCGCACGCAGGAGGAAAGCCTACGGAGAAACCGGTGAAGATGACAGCACGTCTGATAGCACGTCTGACAACAGCGCGGAGGACCCGAAAGTCAAAAAATATCTGAGATATGACCACGTCTTGGAAAAAAGGAAACAAATGCCCCGGTATGGATAAAGCACGGTGAGAGCTCAAGTTTTCAAGGGTGATGTTCAAGAATTTCAGTGGCTGGATGATACATGTTTGTCGTTTAGAGGCGACCAGTAGTTGTCAGATAAAAAACAGGACATCGAATCGGTTTAGCTTCACTGAGTATCTTGCTTTCATCGTTGCTGTGTCAGCGTGCTCGATCATCCTACTATAATCTAGACCTACAATGGGCGAGTTCTCTTGCAGTAAAATGTCCCTGGAGCTTACAAGTTACCACATAATTGCACGAGTCTTTCGTGTTGCCGAGATGCCGGTGCCACCCTAGGGAATTGCAATCCGATATACTATCTGGTGTGGGCTGAAAAACGGCTCCTATGAGGTAACGCATCAGGGTAGCACACCTATGTATCAATGTGTAGCAGTAGCGAGCTCATGTGCAACAAGTCGCTACTATCTCACGGCGTACTCAAATTAACATTTTATTGGTGTTCTAGTACCAGAAACATTGTATCGGGTGCACCTAGCCGTCATTAGTCACATTGCAATATCTTGTACACACTCTGGTAACGATCTAAAAAACAAGGGAAACGCTACGTACACCTAAGCGCAGTGTTCAAAATACCAAGGTTATAGTTATGCTATCCGTTTGTCTTCAATTTTCTTTGCCAATGAGAACTGCTTAGACAGTCCTCGGCTTTGCACTTTTCTTCTCTATTGCTGCACCTCGCAATGATGGCCTTACTCACGAAGCTGACAGCCCTGCAGCTGCTTCGACAGAAGTCGTTATTTACGATGCTGCTTTCACTTGACCTAGAATCACGTGCATGTACGTTAAGTGATCCCTGTCGCCAACGCAAGCATAAACAATTTTCGGCGTCTGGCATGCTTTCCTACATATACCCAGACACCGGTGGCTACATTTGAGCGATATAGAACATTGTTCGAAGATAAGGGCTCCGATTTGTCCTCCAAATTATTTGCATCTGTAACGGGGTGAATCGTTACATAACAATTTATAAGAAATTGTTAATAGAATATAACTATAAGAGTTATATTCTCAGAATATTGTCATAAGGACAATATTCTGTAGCACTTCCAAGTAGTTCCTAATTGGTTGATATAGGCCATTATATCAACCAACGAAGACGCGCCACGACAGACGCACGCAATGAGTGGTGAGCAGATAACTGATTTACACATTTGTATTTAGACATAGTTAGATGAAGATAAATAGTGATTTATTGCAGACATTAACTATTATAAATACAGTTCTACTTTTACTCTAACCGAGTACTCGCTTCTTCTTACCGTCTTCCTCTGCACGTACGAGTGTACGTGAAGTTACGAGGCACCGCCTTATTCTGTTATCAGAATAAGTAGCTTGTACTGTCACCAGTACAAGCTTCAGGGTGCCCCGTTACACCTGGTAGCACTTCGTAGTCCGTCCAAGGACCGCGTTCACATCCAACATGAATATGTTGGATGATGAAGATGACCAAAGCTTTCACGCTACGCGTGACGGCTACTCCCATTTGAGCGATGTCGAATGGGATGCGGTTGAACGAATGGGTTCGACCATGGGCATCCATGCTGTTAGCGTCATGCTAGAGGCTCTCAATAGAGATGCCCAACATGCTACTATCGCCAAGTTCATTCAAAATGAACTTGACGCAGAACGCGAGAAAGTAGCCTTGCTTCACCAACAAGGTTCTCAACAAGCAGAGTTGTTGAGAGAACAAGGTGCTCAACAGTTTGAACTGTTGAGACAGCAGCAGGCTGCTGCTGGCGGGTCGATGCACTCGCGTCGGCCCGAGACTTTGAAGATTGACATCTCAAAGTATAGGGGGTCGAAGAAGACTCCCTCTTGAGATGGTTCGTCGAATTGGACGACGCTATAAGGGCGCGTCGCATCGACGACGGGGATATGCAAGTTGCATTTGCCCAGTCAAATCTGGCAGGACGTGCCAAGACTTGGGCACTGGGGCTCAAGCTGCACGACCCATATGCGTTTGGGTCGTTGGAAGTCTTCAAGTCGCGGCTCAGACAAACGTTTGAACCGCCTAGAGCTGAGTTCAGAGCTCGAACCGAACTCTTGAAGCTCAAGCAGGGTAAGCGTGATGTGCACGCTTACGCTCAACATATACGACATCTCACGAGTTGTATAAGTTCCAATCCGGTGGATGAACACACGTTGGTTTCGGTGTTCATGCAGGGTCTTGCGGATGGTCCCGTCAAGACTCACCTGTTCCGGCTTGAACTAGATTCACTAGAACAAGCCATTTCAATTGCGGAGCAGGAAGACTTCAGTCTGAGACAGGCTCGCGCCAGCTCGACATCATATCGTCAACCGAGACGATATGACAACGGAGGTCCAGAGCCGATGGAACTCTGTTATGTAGAGAGCGAGAAGGCTCGCTCTACAGGCTACAAGAAGTTGCAGAGATGCAACAGATGTCAAAAGACAGGACACTACGCTTACGAGTGTAGTGCCCCTCGTCCAGTGTCTCGCGACACTGGGCGTAGTGACCGTCCACCCATGAGAAAGGGGCAGGGACGAGGGTCCGCAGTTGGTGCAAAGACGCAACAACGGGATGGACCGTCAAAAAACGGACAGGATCAGTAGGTGCGGAGCACCCTACTGATCCAGCAACGTCAAGAGAATTTGTAGGCCTCTTGATGAAGGTTGCTCCCAACACACAGACATTGTGCGTTGCTGCTCTAGGTAATGAGATCTCACTCATTACCTTGAAACTCGAAGTGACGAATAAGTTGTCCCTTCGAGCTCTAGTCGATTGTGGGGCGTCCAACAATTTTGTGCGACGCCAATCGCTAGAAGATGGTCACTTTAAATTCAGTGAATGTGACACACCTCCTACGAGGATGACGGTACGTCTTGCGACAGGCGCATCCGTAACCGTCATGAAGCGTATAGTGAAGATTCACTATACGCTAGAAGATACCCAATATGACGATGACTTTATCGTATTGGATTTGGATGACAAATTTGATGTCATCCTTGGAATACCGTGGCTCAGAAGGTACGAACCACGGGTAAACTGGGAACATCGGACAGTAACGATGCCTGCCGCTTGTTCATCAGATGGCCATCTGATGAAC